TCCATGGAAGCTCACACTCTCTGGCTTTCCCTTCTTAGTACTTGAAAAGGTAATTATTTGATTTCTCCTTATATTTTTGGATTTCATGCGGCAGTTAAGGATAGCCTTCTTGATCATGCCAGGCTATTTTGGGGGAACTTCATTTACATTTGTCTTTTTAATCTGCTCTTTAGATCATTAGATGTCTGGGCAGCAGGGTCCACTTTCGGGTCACTGCCACTAATTAGCATCCAGCAGAGTAAAGGGACTGGACCCCAGAGAAAGCATGAGACACTGAGAAGCTAGAGAATCTGTCAGTGGTGGGAGTGTCTCATCAGGATGGTACCCACAGATAGACTGAGACCCCCACATTCACAGCAGGGAGGCACACTGTCTCATCTGGTGCCTTTTGTCTGACCCTTTGCCGCCCCATGGTGGCTCTTTTCTGAAACGCAGCCAGCACCGACCTCTCTAAGGGCAGCACAGATGGCCTCAGCCACCATTTTCTGAAGGTTGCTGCCTGCCAAAGACTTTCTACCTGTTATTAATCACTCAGCAGCCTTAGGGAGGGTTACCTTGAATACTCAGGTGATGAGACCCCTAAGATAGAGAGGGTATATAAGTTGACCAAGATCACATGGCTACTAAGGGCAGAACTATATATATCCATTGCTGTTAATCTAAGGCCATAGCCTCCCCAGAATAATTCTGTCAATCATGATAAGAAACATGGGCAAGCATTTCTCAGCTTCCAAGGATATCTGTGCGAGCTGAGTGGACCTGTGTTACAAGGTACAAGGTGGGTGTGCCAGGATATGTTAATTACCAGCAGCAAGCATTTAAGGAGACCAGCATTTGGTTCCCAAACTCTGGGAATCCAGTCAAAGAGAGGGAGGAGGGAATACATGAGCAAGGGAGATCAAAATAATGGTGGAGAAATCTACAGAGACAGCTGAACCAAACTCTTGGAGACTCATGAACTCTAGACTGACAGCTGTGGAGCCTCCAGGGGACCAAACTAGACCCTCAGTAGGTGGGAAATAGTTGTATAGCTTGGACTACCTGAGGGGCACCTGGCAGTAGGACCGGACCGATCCCTGGTGCCTGAGCTACGTTGTTAGAGCCTATTCCCTATGAGAGGATGCCATGCTCAGCCTTACTGCGGGGTGGGGGGAAGGGAGGAGGCAGGCAGCGGGAAGGGAGACTTGGTCCTATCCTCACTTAATGTGCCAAACTGTATCAACTCCCCTTGGGAGCCCTTACCTGTTGGGAGGAGTAGATGGGGGTGCTGGGAGGGAGGCTAGAGAGGAGGAGGACTTGGGTTAGAATGCAAATGAAATTTAAAAATAAATAAATAAATATTTTTAAAAACTCAAATGAGACCAGCAGGGGATGAAAAGCTGACTGAGTGGGAGGGCATGTGCAAGGCCTGGGATTTTCTCTCCAGTATCACAGAAAACAGGAGACAGGAAAGAAGCCAACATATTGCTGAGCATGTGTTCATGTGTAAGCAAGAAAAACTGAGGTGCCCAGTACCCTGTGCCAGCCTGTCCTTCTACCTTCCAGAGGCTCAGTTTCCTCTGCTGTAGAGCGAGGACTAATGTACTACCTCTTAAAGTGTGGTGCTCCTTTTAAGAAGTGCAGAACTTCTCAAATGGCCACGCAGAGTGGTTGTCTGCTATGAAACTATTTTGTATGAAAAAAAAAAAAAAAACAACAACAAAGTCAAAGGCAGCAAGAACGATTTCTTCGGGTTTGGGTGAAGCTAATTATTAGTTTTGAGAGAACTTCTGAACTCAGAATTCCTTCTGTGTAGTGCCTATCAGCATTTGTTTCTCGGGATCTTTGGGAAGGCACGAAACAGGTGGGAGGGTCCTGGGACTTGAACAGGCATCAGTAAATGCTGACTTTACTTAGCTGGACCAGTTCTTGCCACATTTGAGCTCCAGGGACTAGAGACCCACTCTGACTTGTTCCCTTACATATTCTTCTCTTTCAGAAACTTATTTTCATTTGTCTATATGCGTGTGTAACTGTGTGAGTTCATGTCTTGTCTGAGGGTATCTTCAGAGGCCAGTTGGGAAGATCCCCTGGAGCTGGAGTTACAGGCATTTACAAGCCTCCTAATAAAGATGCTGGGAACTAACCCAGGTGCTCTAGAAGAGCAGCAATCACTCTTAACCACTGAGCCATCTCTTCCTCCCACCCCTGTTACATGTTATTGTATTAATATATTAAAATTTTCATGAATGAGAGTGTAAATGTGTGAATGAATGAAGCTCAGGGTGGACCTTGCCTGCTCATCCTCTTCTCTGCCACTTGGTTCCACAAGACTGGTTGGAGAACACCAGTGCCCTTGTGAAGCTCAATGTCAGGCAACTATTGGTGCTGTAGTGTCACCTCTGTGAGCACCTGCTTTTCCAGCAGAATTTTCAATTTTCAGTCTAAACAGTTCCCTTTGCTGCTTGGCAGGGAGCAACTGGGTATTTCATTTGCAAGTGTATTTGGAACAAGACATTACTGAGTGGTCTAAGTAGATGCTGCACCTGGATCAGAAATGAACATGTTCAGAGACAAACCATAAAAGCCACTCAATGGAACTTAAAGGCAGTTGAGGACACTGATTCCCATGTGTGCCAATCAGAAATAGAGATTAGGTTGGGGACCTGCCAACTGTGGTACCAATCAGAAGCAGATATGGGGGGGATTGTTGATTGTGCTGTAACTCTGTGTTCATTTAGAACAAGATTTTGAGTAGGTAACCATGGGAGGCATAATAAAAATAAAAACTGTATAAATCTAGTAAGAAGCAGTCAAGTGGCCAACGTTTTGCCCATTTTCCTTCTACACAACTATTCCAGGGCTTCCTGTACTGCAGCATCATAGCTTCCCACTTCTCTGATGGCTTCTTCCAGAATGTCTAGTAAAACTGTTCAGCAGAGCCACTGTGGTGTTGGTGGCTCAGAACACATAGCCACGTGCCTCAGTCCAGTTATCATGAGCAAAGCAATAGTTCCTCTCCCAAGAAGTGGAGTGGACAAATCATTGCCAAGTCCTGATCTGGGGAGGTGACAGGAAAGTGCCTGCCGTGTGAGCCTGAGACCTGAGATCCCAGCACCCACATAAAAAACCTAGTATAGTCACCTATGCCAATAATCTAGTGAGGTGGTGTGGAAACAGTGGCATCTATGAAGCTCACTGGCCAGTTGGTGTAGACAACTGGTGTAGTAAGAGATCCTTTATCAACATATAAGGTACAGAGTAACCTAGGAAGATGTCTACCTCTGGACCCCACAAACATGTGCACACAAGTGCATGTATACCACACCACATATATGCATGCACACATACACATCCACTACACACATGTGCATGCACAAATATATAAAATGCACAACACAAAGTCCAGTAGATGTTTTAATAGATTCTATAAAATATACCAAAGAAAGTTAATAGTCATGATTCTTCCAAAGAATTGTCACTTAATCAAACCAGAAAATGCACATTTTCATAGGATGGTTGTGCCAAAATCTTTTGAATAAAGTTTGCTTGTAAAGCCTGGAAAGAGAGTTCAATTAGTAAAGTGCTGTCATCAAAGCACAAAGATCTGAGTTTAATCCCCAGTGTTCATGTAAAACTCCAGGCATAATAACATACTCATGTAATCCCAGCACAGAGGAGATAGAAACAGGAGGACCCAGAGCTCCTTTCCAGCCAGCCTAGCCTACTTGGTGATTTCCAGGATAATGAGAGACCCTGTCTCAATAATACAGGATAGATTACTCCTCAGGAACAGTACCTGAAGTTAGCTTCTGGCCTACACCACACACTCGAACATACACATGCACACATCAACACATACAAACACCTACATGTCAATGCACACACACACACACACACACACACACACACACACACACACACACACACACACACACACACACCTGTATATGGTTGCACTCACACATGCCTGTTTTAAAAGAAAGGAACTTAAAATACTGAGTTGGTTTGTTAGCGGGTAGTTAATATGTACAAAAAAGAGGAATGACAGCCATCCTATTTAAATGGCACTGATTCCTAGTAAGATTTTCTGTGAGTGACATAAGTTACTGAACAAAGGCCCAAATATATCCTGAAGCCTAATGTTAGGTTTGCTTAGAAGTAAAACTTGCTTAGAAACCTTCAGTTCCTAAAAAAGGAATTGGCTACTATAGCTTACCACTTATTGTAAGTACAATTTTATTAGAACACATGTGCTCATTCATTCATAGGTGACCTGTGTCTGACTTCATACAACAGAGAAGTTGACTCAGTTGCAGAGAATTGCAGCAGTGAAGCCCCAACTACACCCTGCTTTATAGGAATGTCTCCCAAGATCCCCCATGATTTATAGAGAGCAACAAGGATTACATGACTAAAGCCTTCATTCTAAAGATGGGCACATTGGAACCAGAGAAATTGGGAACTGCCCTGGACTTGGCTTTTCTGATCTTTATATACTAGTTGTTTTCATGAAAAGCAATGGCAGGAAAAGATTTGGTCCTAGATCTAGGAGCTACTAATTGGAAGTAGTCATCCAGAGAATGGTTGGGGGTGCCTTAGTGGTTACTAAGAAGTGCAATGACTAATCTCCTAGGGACCAGGAAAGAAGAACCCCTCTGTCTGTGCCATGCCATGTGTTTTGGGGAGTTATGCTAGTTTCTTGTGGAACAATATTCATTGTGTAATGTACATTGTCACTGGGCCTCAACAGACTATCTCAGACCCTCACCTTAGAGCTAATCAAGTGATTGACAGATCTTGCACAATGCCATTCAAACATTCAGCTTAGCATGCTCTACCTTCAAATATTTATTTGGAATTTCACCCAGACCGAATTTGTTGGTTATAAAATTTTTTAAATAAAATAAATTCATGGATCATGGTGGGCACAGGGTGGTATAAGATGAAAAGTTACAAAGTTATTGTCTTTTATGGCCCCAACTGAGAGTCTCCTTGTTTTACGTTTGTGTTTTGTGCAGCTGGACAATCCAGATGAGCAGGCAGCCCAGATCAGACGAGAGCTGGATGGACGTCTCCAAATGGCAGACCAAATAGCCAGGGTAAGAGACTTTTCAGGTTCTTTCCTGGCACCAGGTCAAGGTCCCACCCAAGAAGTACCCTGACTAGTAAGGCCTTCAAAAGATGAAGGAGGGGGACTGGGAACAGAGTTCAGTTGGTATGTGGCCCTGGGTCCTATCCTCAGCACTGCATAAACAAAACCAGAAATGACAGTGCAGTGCAAACCTGTAGTGTCAACATGAAGCAGAGGCAGGAAGATCAGGAGTTCAAACTCATCCTTGGCTACATAGTAGCCTTGGCTTCATGAGAAAGAAAGAAAAAGAAAGAAAGAAAGAAAAAGGAGAAGGGAGAGGAGGGGAGGGGAGAGAAAGGGAAGGGAGGAAAAGGGATGGGAGGGGAGGGGAAACAAGCCTTCGTTGTTCTAATAGCCTCTCATGAGAATATGGCTCACTGTGACAAGTACCCAGTTGCCATTCTAAAACCCAGATGTGACCATCTAAAACAGAGCTTTAGAATCCCTCAGCAAAACGTCCATAGCTCCAGGACAATAAAACCACTTCCAAAGGACATCCCAGGCTCTGAGGCAGCAGAATGTGCCCCCCTTTATTTATCACTATGCATCACAATTTGCTTCCACAGCTCCAGGACCCAGTGGTATCTTCCCACTGAAGATACCAGACCTGTCCCAGGCTCCATGTCTTTGTGCCCACTGCTTTCTTAGCCTGGGAAGCTCTTTCTTCTCCCTTCCACCCAGCAAAGCCCTTCCTTAGCCTTCAGCATTTGGCCTCAGACATCTCCCTGAGCAATTAGCAGTTCATGCACATTCCACATGCAGACTCTTGCCTACCTGACTGAGTCTCCTGGTGAACAGGCTTGTCTAAACTTGGAATCGTATCTTATTGTTGATGCCTATTGCTTGCTGTCATCTATCTTTTTTTCTGTTGTTGACATTCATGTTATGAATAATTAGTATTTGTGTTAGTAGCATTTATTGGGTCCTGACTATGTCAGACATGCTGTTTACATGCTCCCTTTGCGTCAATAATTATAACATCTCTCTAAGGACATTTTATTTATCATCTTTGCTTTAGAAATTGAAGTATGCAGACTATGCAAGATAGGCACTAATGAAGGAGCTGTACTGGACTCTCAGATGAGATTTCATGTTAGTCAATTTTTATAGCTATGACAAAATAGACAAGAAAACTACTTCAAAGAAGAAGAATTTATATTCTTCTGTGACTTCAGAGATATCAGTCCTTGCAACACTACTTGGAGTCTGAGTTGAGGCAGTAAGGGCAGGTGGTAGAGGAGGCTGCTTACCTCACGTCTTCCAGGACAAATAACAAAAGTTCAGGGATAGGTACCATTCAAAGATGTGTCTTGGTTTCTTTTTCTGTTGCTACCATAAAACAACCCAGCAAAAGCAACTGAAAGACAGAAAGGGTTTATTTTGTCTTGGACTTCTAGAGCTATGTAACCCATCACAGTGGGGAAGAGATGGCCAAGGGCAGGGGAGTTATGGTGGCAGGCATGGGAAGTTAGGTGGTCACATTACATTCACCCTCAGGATGCAGGGAGTGAACAGGAAGTAGAACAAGGCTGGAGCCTCATGGCCTGCTCCAGTAACTCACTTCTTCAGCCAAGGATCCATTTCCTAATGGTTCACCACCTTCCCATGCAGCAAGCATCACAGCAGTGGACCAAATGTTCAAACAGGTGAGCCTCCAGAGACATTTAACATTCAGAAAACACCACCAATGACCTACTTCCTATAAACAGGCCCTGCCTTCTCACAGTCCATTCAGCAATGGTCTGATCAGTAGATTAATCCATTAATGAAGTCAGAGCTTTTATGATCCAATCACCTCTCAAAAGCCAGAAACTAAGCCTTTAATATTTTTTAGTCTTTAGACAGACATTTTTATATTCAAACTGTCGTAGGCCTCATGAAATCACAGGCTGTCAAAAGAGTTGAGATAGTTACCTCAGCAAAGAGTTTAAGGATGCCCCCAAGAAACTTCTAATTAAAAATAATAATTTATGGAATACATTAAAAACACAATTAATGTCAAATATCTATTACAAACTAAGTGTCAAACATTTCTACAACCCCCACTTGCCTGCTGGTTGTGGGGCAGGTGGAAGGCTGTTGGAAGTGGCAGGGAGAGTGGATAGAAGAGACCCTCATGCTGAAATCCCTGCTACAGGGGGAAGTAGCCCAGGGTTTGGCTATATAGAAAGGTGTCCTATTAGATGAAAAGTCAAGGAAAAATTCCAGGAAGGATACTTGTCTGTTTGGGATCCATTTTACAAAATGTTTGGCATCTTATTTTTTGAACACCTTTAAAGTTTATAGTCAAGTCAGTCTGGTAGCTATAAATAATGTGTAGCTATGGGTTTGGCTAACAGTAGTGTGGGAGGCTCTTATGTTTTGAAATCTGCTTACCATGGAGGGAGTAAACATCACTAGGTTTTAGAATATTCATCTTCTCTAAACTCAGTGTCTTCTTTAGTGAATTTTTCTGGAAAATCAAGGTAGTCTGGACCATTTGCCTGCCTGGAATAACTATTAACTCCCTGTGAATAAGCTCACACATCTTGATTTTGTTTGGAGGGGGTTAGGCTTAATATTATAATTCAGAAAGCTAGTGTTAGACTAATTTTAACTTTTCAAAAGTGAAGATAAACAGTTGATGTACTATAAATCAACATTCTTATCTCTGGAAAAAATCTTATCTCTCCTCAGCCTTCATGGTAAATATTCCCATCCAAGGTAAACTACAATTAACAACTTTAAATTAAGCTTCCTTAGAAAATGAACCAGGCAATCCAAACGACTTCTGGTTCTTATTTACTAAGAATAGAGTCAGTTCAGATTTGCATGCAGAGTCTCCAAACAGTTAAAGGCATGAAGGGCTCCTATGTGATGTCTTCTCGTTGCTGTTATTGTTCTCCTGTCATCTTCTGGAGTGTTCCTTCATGCCATTATCACCCTTGTCATGGCTCACTGGCTTGGTCCTGACCTCCTTTGCTCTACCACTGATCTTTGTCCCCAGCTCTAAACTCACCTGGTCTAGAATGAGTTCTTCATTCTTGCCGAACTAAACATGACTCTTAGCCTTTGCTGGTCATGACTAATTGACTCATAAATGATGTCTGATACAAACCAAACCAATGATTCCCTTTCTTGGGGACCATGAACAGCAGGCTAAAATGATAATATTGTTAGAAAGATGTCTACAGAGTAATGCTGAAAGAATAAATACACAGAAAAGGACAGTCAGGAAATCCATTGTGATGCCAAGGAGTAGAGTCAATGTTTGTATATGTGATTCAAGAAACTTCTGAGTTTTAATTGTGTGACTACTTTTCCCTAAATTTAGCTGGATCTACCAGACATTAAATAAAATATGAAGAAGTTGCATATCAGCTAGCTCTTGACAAACTTAAAATATATACTTCTGTTTATCTTTCTTTGGCATGCCCTGGTTTTCTATTTTCATCTGTTACTAATATCACAGTGAATTTTAGTGAGGATGTACAGTTCAACCCATATGACTGAAGGTCAGTTCCTATATATGTTACAAGCAGAAGTTGCTGGATACCACATATTCAATCCACTCTGCTCTCTCCTGTGATGGGTTTACGAGATAGTTTGAACACATCTAACTGCAACTTAGAGACATCAACTAAAGACAGCTTATGTGAAAGACAGGGTAAGTGCAAGGATCAAGACACTCAGAGAACATGGATGAAGAATAGCCAGACTTCTGGAAAGAGCTAGCACCAGTGGCCATGGAGGGACAGGACTCTGTTTTCTCTGTCTGTGTCACATTGGTTATCCATTCTTCCTCTGTAAGCCAGCACTCCTAGATTTCCAGATGGGAGTCTGGCTATCCCACAGCTTCTAAATATACAAAAGGGAAACCATCAGCCACTCTCTTACCTCTCCAGATCCTTTCCCTCCCTCCTTGTTTCCCTAATTCCTCCAGAATCACAGTTCTAAGTATCAAGCTTAGGATTAGCCTAAGTTTGTTCAAAGTTAATCCTAATACAGTTGACCAAGCCACTGTGGAATAAAAACAAGGGTCTCACTGTACACATGGGTACTGGTAAATATAGCCCTCAGCCCACTGTGGAATACAGGTACAGGGTTTGTTGGGACACATAGATGCTTGTAATGTACCTTCAACCCACTGTGGAGTACAGTTAATAGCCTTGTTGAGACACATGGGTGCTGGTAATGCACCCTCAGGATGAGTTGATACCTAAACAGTAGTACTGTGGGATCAGTATGAAGTGAGGTTATCCTGGATATGTCTAATACTATTAATTACCTTTGGTGTATTATTTACTAAGCTCTACTCTCTTACAGTTGTTTTACATGATAATCCTCAAACTCTCTCAGAACCTAATGGACTAGGTGGTCCTCTTTCAGCACAGAGGCATTGGAAGATATGCCCAAGGTTACTCTGATTGAAAACTGTATTCTTGACTAATTTGCTTTCTAGATTTTCTGAGTTGCTTTCCAAATTAAGGTCTTTATTTCCCTTCTGACCCAAGTCTGAGGGTCCAATAAACCTCTCTTTCAGGCTTTCTTCTCTGTTTGCTAATGAGCTGTTTATATAATGTTCCAGGCACTGGCTTTGAGATTTCACATTGGTTGTCACTTAGACCTGTTACAACCAGCCCTTGGCATGCAGTAATTCTACCCAGAACAGGTAAATCAGAAGGTTTAATTGCTGTGCCTGAGTTCACTTGGCTAGCAAGCAAAAAGAAGACAAGTTCTGCCTTCAGACAATCAGGAGAAGCCTCCAGGACAGGACAGGAGGACCTGCCTCCACCTTCCTCTCTCCCTGACAACCACCACTCCAGCAAATACCTCTCCATCTACACTGACATTTCTGTATCCCCTTCAGTTTACATAGATGCACAAGGGAAGTAGCAGTGATGAGTAGAACTATCTCCTGGGATTTAGAAAGCTCTCCACTATGGCATTTGGACTCTGGAAAGGGGGCTGTACAGACCCTGCTGTTTC